TCTACTTCATATTGAAGAAATAAATGTATACATAATATTTCGTTTTAAGAAGTTTCCTTTATAAAATTGTAACTGTTATGATTAGCATTATGTATTTCTTTTAAGCTATGATATTTTGCAATTTTTAGAAAATCATTCATCTCTGAAATTAGTGTTGATTTTGCAGTGCTTAAAATAGTGCACAAGACCACCTAACAATTGCAAGACCAAGACCAAGACCATCTAACTGTTGCAAGACCAAGAACACATAACAATTGCAAGATCAAGACCAAGACTGGCAAAAAAAAAATAGTTTTTGTGAATAAACATTAAGGCCAAATAGCTACTGATACTTGAAAATTTTAGTTATTATATGTAAAGAATTGGTATAACTAATATACTTTTGCATTTAACTCTTTCAATTTTCCATTCGGGCTTAGTCAGGTTTCCGCTAATTGAAAAATTACCGTAATATCTCTGTGGTAATAGGCTAATAGTTAACTTTAAGACTGTCACGAGAAACTTGCGCAAGACCAAGACCAACACTGAGTGCGCAAGACCAATGCTCGTCTTGTTCTCCGATTCGGGCAACACTATTTGAAATGATAGAGAGTTGATTCTCCTTTTTGAAAATATAGGTTTTTTTATTTCTTTTATATTATCTATTTTTCTTTGCCATCCCAACTACATAAGAGAGGTCAAATTTTAGATGCTCAATTTTATACCGATCTTATCGTTTCAGAGACCCTTCACACCTAACATCAATACTCATCTCTTAAATATATGGACCGATTTTTTTTTTTTTTTTTTTTTTAAGCAAGAACTTCTATAGCCGCCCTTAGTACTTTGTTTTGTGAATAAGACTGAGCCGGTCACGCTCGGCTAAGTAACGCTCATTTTGGAAAAGTCAGCTCGAGACAACTAATTTTGCATAAAGTGGAAATCGGACCTGTACACTGTAAGCAAAGAACATGTTTAGCATTCCAATTTCTTTGTAATTGAGCTGTTATTCGAAATTGTATTGACGAGACGCCGTGCTAGAGAGACAATAAAGTAAGAAGATAATGCAATAAGATTAAAAGCCAAATGATAATAAGTTTTTTATTACATTTGGATTACAATATCTCGAAAACTTAAACCTGCGTACTGTATGCAACAGTGAATACGGAAATAGCATTAAGAGATCACATCTTTAGGTCTGTTACCAGTTCAAGTACCTTGGAAGCCTGGTCACATGCAATAAAAAAATAGAGAGAGAAATAAAGTCCAAGATAGTAGAAGGAAATAGATGATACTTCTCACTGCAAAGAGACATGAAATTTAGATCACTCTCTAAAAGAATCAAAATCCTCATCTACAAATCCACAGAAAGGCCAGGCGGTTATGTATGGATGTGAGACTTGATCTTGACCAAGAACTCAGAACGCATACTCAACTCCTGGGAGAGAAAATTATTAAGAAGTATATGGAGCGGAATCGCTGAGAATGGAATTTGGAGAGCGAGAAATAATGAGAAGCTGCGAGAAATTTATGGAGAACCTGATATTGCGGCATTGATAAAAAGAGCCAGAATAAGAGGGCCAGGTTATGAGGAAAGTCCGACCAAAGAAGGCCAAAGAAGGCCAAAGAAGATACTGTATAAGAAGCCGGATGGAAAAAGAAGTAGATGGCTTCATTGGATCAGATGGCTGTAGGGTTTGGAGGACGATCTGAGGTGGTTGGGCGTTCAAAGAAGGATGGAAGTAGCACCAGACCGTGAAGATTGATTGGCTGGATTGGAGAATCCCTGTGTTCCTGCAGGACCGCAGGGCCATAATAATAATAATACTGAAAGCAAGCAAATTTTTCAGCACTTCGTCCTCTTTGTAATAAGTTATAACACAAAATTAATTTTGATTAGTCACCAACTTAGAGAGTCGGAAGAATCGCTCTGTTTCAATCCTAACCCATTTCATGTGCCACGGACGGATCTACGGGAGAGGGCATTGGTGCTGAAGCCTCCTCTCCCACAAAAATGGTAAAATATAACCATGTTTTATGGAAAAAAATACAAAAAAAAATTATCACTTGAAGTATTATTGTTCGTGTAATTACATTTAAAAGGACTTCAGGAATCACATAAACACCATTTCATATAGGGAAGTTGGTTTCTTTCTTTTTTAAAAAGTAATTATCTTTATTTTTATGAAAATGAAGATTCTGGGCTGAAGCCTCCCACCACAAAATTAAATCCTGGATCCACTAATGTCAAGTGCCATCAAATACACAAAAGGAACAAATGGAAGCAGCATCCACTCTGGAGCTACGGGCTTGAACTGTGTGGAACTGCTGAACATTCGCTTATCAAATGAATCCAATCCTTCCAGTCAAAAGTACTTAGAACAATATTCAATGCTCAATACGAACAATATTATGCCACAAACAAGATATTACACCATGACCTTAACATCCAATTTGTCCTTGAAATCATCCCATCCAGATTCTCAAACTTTCACCAGAAACTTATTCATCATACAAATCCTCTAGCTCAGGTATGATGAATACAGGTGCTTTAGCTATACAAATCATACAAATCCCTACCCAGCTCCTACCGTCCCAACAATCCTCCTAACGGTTCAAAATGTAAAACGGCAGTGGCCCTGAGATCTTTTGTAAATATGCCTTTAGAGTATTCGCAATGGCCAGCCAGCTTCTCCACTCAAGGTATCTGTGGCTGTAGTGCCCTCCTTCAGTCTCCACTGGCTTACTATTGATGCGGCTGGAAGAGAGGCATTGGGATATCCTAGAGTCCTGCTTTGCCTTTCACTTTTGGAGGACAAAGCTTGGCTTGGAGTTCTCTGGACGAATCTAAATACTCATAGAAATGAATGTGTTCAGGCGATTTATTTTATTTTTACTTATTGATTTATGTCTTGTTTCGCTTATGCATTATTTATGTATGTTATTCTATTTTTATATTTACTTTTTCTTAGTTTACGCATTTAATTTTATTTATTCATTTATTTATTTTTTATTTCTCTATTATATGTATATATGGTATCAATGAACACATTTAGCCTTGCCCTTCAATGTGGCAGATTGTACTATTTACTGTTCAATAAAAAGTAAATAAATAAAACATATACTAAAACCTATAATTGTAATTTCTTAATCAAATTTCAATGAAAATAATTTTGGACTTGATTTGTCCAACAGGTCTGTGAATTAAATTAATTGCAATATGTAAAATTTGGAACATCATGAATAAAATAAACACTGAAAATGTTGCATAGCCCAACTAACATTGTATAATAAAAGAGGTTATTGAAGTAAGATACAATACTAAACAAACAAACGTAGGAGAAAAATATATAAGTATTCGAAAAAAAATGCATTTAACTAAAAAATAAATAAATAAAAAGTAGAGTTGTAATAGAAATTTACTCGTGAAGATGTCACGATGTTTTATGTCCAATAAACTGTTGTAAAAAATATATTGGCTTACCTACATTGCCAGAAGGAATCTAACATTTATTACTACAGCTTTGTCAATCTTAGAATTAGTGCGTATGAAGCTTAGATCATAAAGTAAGATTTTTTAAAAAATAAAACATTTAAAAAAAAGAAGTTAAATAATACAAAGTCAATAATGCTGCATATGTTCTGATTTTACCATTAATAATATATAGAGATAGCCTCAGCCTTGTTTGTCCTTTTCTGCCCGAAATCACTTTTTGGAAATCTTCCAAAATGTCAAATAGTTTTCTAACATCTTTGCTACCATTTAGGTTCCTACTAAAAGATTTGTTTAAACATTTCTGTTGTTACTATTTTGGACCAGCAGTTGATGTAACTTACTATTTGCAGTATATCTTTTACTGCTGGAAACAATTAATGTATGAGCTGATTCAAATGGAATAAGAAAATCGAGGAAGACTATTTCATTAGCATTTCTAGTATCACAAGATTACTCGAAAAACATTATTTATTTAATTAAATGTTTCTGTCTGAAATATTGAATTTAAAACCTGGTCATATTTTGTAGAAAAGTAACATAAAATAAACTTTTATATGTTTATTAAGAACGTAGAGCAAGGTTGAAATGGCAAAGAACAAAATGTCTAACAGATAAAACTCATTACACACAACTGTGCACATTTACTAGATGTATTTTTATTTTAATAGAGTAAATATCATGAATAAGTAAAATAATAATGTTTAATGAGATGAAGTACCTCTTTTATAAAAAAAAGGGACATATTTCTGAGGAAAAAAAAGAGAGTGACAGATGAATTCTAAAGAAGTGTCAATTATCAAATAAATTTTTGTAGGTTATCAAATACAATTTTATAAACATTAGAAAAAAATTAAATCTCTCGAAAATTTATTGTTAGGCATCGTTTAAATTTTTAAAATCCAGTTTAGTCCAGATTACTGTAAAATTGTATTTGATAACCTACAAAAATTTATGTGATAATTGACACTTCTTTAGAATTCATCTGTCACTCTCTTTTTTTTCCTCATAAATATGTATATTGGTATCTCAGTCAGAAAGAGCTGATAGGTCAGTGGTAGCATTTCAAAATTATTTTAATTTTAAAAGTAAATTCTGGACAACTTTCATTATAGCATTGAATAATGATAATTCACAGTAAATATAATTAAATGATCTTCTTCCCTTTGATTAGTGATTTATGAATAATGGAAATTCATAAAATAAATTAACCATTGTATCAATGAATTATTGAATCAGATAGAGAATTGTAAATTTAATCACATTTGTTAATATTGCTGTAGATTGCAAGATACGTGGTCCTTACCTGTATCATTGTATATTATTTCCGAATTTAGAATTTAGTGGTACACCTTAATTTGATTAATAATATTAATAATAATATATTAAAACATCATATTGTATTCAATTAATTCGTATATCAGTTGGGTAAACCTCAAGATTACCATATGATCATACTAAATAGAACCTGTTTCGCCCATATTTATGTTATATGCTGTTAAATACGAGTCTGTCAGTTATATAATAATCAGCTGATAGATATGTACTTACTCGTATGTATGGGGTATCTTCCAGTCATCAATGCTGACCTGGAGGGCGAACAAGTCTGCTGGACGTAATGTTTGTTGAGGATAACACCATTATAGGCGAGGGCATCGATGTTAGGTGTCGGGAACTGATCCGAGCCGTGGAATCCAACATCGTTCCAGCCCTGGAAAAATATGAGGTTCAGATTTGTTATTTTCGGTAAAATATACAAAAAAATATGTTAATTTTACATAAATAGTCGAAGGAACTGACATATTTCTACCGATAATGTCCCTCGCAGTTATCGTGTTATATATGTTATATTACATTAAAAGCCGTGATTCCAAATAGTACACATGAGGATATTATATATATATATATATATATATATATATATATATTATATATATATATATATATATATATATATATATATATATATATATATATATACAGGGTGTCCCTTATGTAAGTCCTTTAAGTACAGGTAATAGAAGACCTGAAGAGCAACAAAAAAGTTTATAAAAAAAATGGTCCGATTTCAACGCAGAAAAATAGATAATTTCAGATTTATATTTTTCAGGAAATCGTGTTTTTGTTAAATAGAAAACGATAAATACAGAAATATTCTACGAAACGATTGCTTCACTATAAACTAAACAAAACTAAATTTTCCATAACATAAAAATAGAGTTTGCCATTGTTAAAATATTACATTTAAAGAGGACTTTTGATTGGCTAAATTGTTATATTTTTTTTCATTATAAGTTATTCGAGATTTGTTTTATCATTCAACAACTATACTATATTCCCCCGTTACTATAAAAACTTTATTTTTTATTAAGCTTTATGCCCATGTTAATTAAGTTGAAGTTTGTTAGAAAAAAATTTGAGATACGCCTTAAGCTTCGTAAGAAAATTATGTGATTTTGTATACCATCACCTGAAACTACTGATGTTTTCAGCAAAAGTGACTAAACCAAACTATTGAAGAGCTTTAATATAATTTATATTTTTTTAGAAACAGAACGTACCTTAGTTTAGACGCTCAAAAATGTTCTTAAGTATGATTAACAGTGACAAACTTGTTAAGTAAAGTTTCGTTTTAAGTAGATTTTGTTTAGTTTAAAGTGAAAAAAACTTTTAATTATTTAAATTAAATATTCCTCTGTTGTCGCTTCCTAATCAACAAAAAAAAATGACACTTACAAAAACTCTAATTTTCTACCATAAATCGGACGATTGTTTATATAAACTTTTTTGAAGCTCTTGAGGTTTTCGATCACCTCTATAAATATTTCTATCTACTTAAGAGACACCCTATATATAAAGAAGCAGAAAATATTTAATGTGATATATTAATCTACCAAAGTTTGACTGTAATAAGAGTGCGGTATAAGTTCGATTTTCCTAAAAATTGTTCGAATTTTTCTTGGGCCGATTTAAAGTTTGTGACCGAGCGTTATCCTGTTCAGATAATTAGATATTACAACTTTTATAATGTTAAACTAAGCTGGATAATGCAGTGATAGTTTCGCTTGTTGCAGCCTCATAAGTTCAGCAAAGTACGAAGTTCATTAGATGTCTTTCAGGATCATCAATATCCTCAGAGTTATCTTCTGATGTTCGTCCTCAGCCCTCCTTTTGTTAAAAGGGAGTATTTCTATAGAATGTAAAACTAATGCGTGGGGACGGGAAGGTCAATCGGCAACCTGATAACCCAAATATTACAAGTTCAAATCCCGGTGCAGGTGGGACTTTTAATTCAAAAAATAATCCTCCCGCCTTCTCCCTATGGCCTCAGAATAAATTTCGGATAGCTTAAAAGGCAAAAAAGAAACAATAATTAAAACTAACATAACGGTAGGCGATGTTCAAGCAAAATTTCATCTTCATTTTAATTGATTTTACATGTTCCTTCAGTGGCGACTTTTTTTTTTTTTTCAGAGAGTACTAATATTAAGTATTCTTTTAAAGCATGCCATATTTTTTGTTCGACTGAAAATTATGAACTAAGACTTTATTGCACGGGTGGAATGTTTAAATACAACTTAACTTATCCTTGAAAATAGAACATGGTTTAATTATAAACATTACATAGGTTAAAAGTTCGGATTATAAAATTTCGTATAAACATATGTTTCTTTGTAAAAATTGTATATAAAGTTCTTATTTATTTTATTGTTTTTTTATCATCCTATTATTATGACTCTTGTTATCAAGTGTATATTGACCATTCCTGAAATTACAAAAACTGAAATAGAAAATTGGGATCACAATTTAAGATTAGTAGTTTTGTCCAAATGCGAGAACAAGAGGAGTCTTGATCTTGGTCTTGCGCAAGAGTCTCGCAATAGTCTTGCAGTTATCTATAAGCTTATTACTATAGATATATTGCTGCAATTTTTTAGATAGAAGAAATCTGACTAAATCCGAATAAAAAGTTAGAATTAGTTAAATTCAAAAGTGTATTGGTCATACCAATTATTTACATATAGTGTCTAAAATTGTCAAGTATCAATAACTATTTTGCCTTAATTATAATTCAATATATCATTTTTTTTTTATTTATCATTCTTGATCTTGACCTTACAACAGTTAGGCAGCCTTGGTCTTGGTCTTGCAAAATTCAAGACCTAGTCTTATTTTGGATAAAACTACCTATTAGCAAGTACGATATAATTAAAAAATAAAATTCTAGTTTCCTCATGAAATTATACAAATTTTCAACGAAGATTTTTGCAGTTTTTAAGAAGGTTCAAAAGAAATCTTCTAATTAGTGGTTCATCTTATCAACGTTTGTTCATGAATAAGCCCTAACTAAATTGAATTCCTACTGGGCGTTTGTAATTATAGGGTCTTCTTAGGAAGTTAATTAGTAGAAGTAGCTAATTGGTAGGAAAATAAATGCATTCAATACTTCCAATAGAAGAATAAATACGATCTTATTGAAGCTGTTGAATTGAACATCCTTTGTGATTTTAACAAATGAGTTCGTTTAACAACTAAAATAAGTCGAACGTTATAGTTATTTAAGCCATGCGGATATCGAATGAGGTCTATTGAGTTAAACATCTTCTATTAACTATTCCGTTATCATTTAATAATAAAAACAAAATGTTACAATAACCATGGTCACTGGTACGGTATGCGATACATGAAAACACCGCTTAAAGAGATGTGCAGATCATGAATTTGACAACTGCCAAGATATAGGCCACACCACAAGGTCGGGAGTATTAGAGGAATTGAAGCAGACCTCAGGGCCAGAGAAAGAATGGAAAAAAAATAAGAACAAGGAATGAATAGATATAAAGACTTAGATGATAAGGAGTGATATTTCTAAAACACCAATTAACTACAATAATCAGTCGTTTGTTTAGACATTTCAGTGTGCTTAGGTATTTCACAAACTATGGGAAACAAAAATATTTAAATAGTTTTTTTTTTCTATATTAGTATTGTTGTTTTTAATGTTTTCCATCTGATATCGGTTACAAGCAAAAGAAAAAAGTTTGGCTTAGCAGTGCTGTCACTGTTATTTAATTTTGATAGTTGTGTTTCCCATAGTTTGTAAAATGTATAAACACTTCTTCAGGTAGCATTCTGTTTTTTCGTTTTTTTTAAGTATTTGTATTCATGTTTTATTTCATTGACTAGGGATTTCTATTAAAAAAGTTATTGCTTAAAATGAGAGTTGCACTGTTTAATTTTTTAATGAGCCTATAATATTTAAGTTTCACGTTATAAAGTGTTAGGAGCAAATAAATTATAAAGGATTATAATAATATAAAATATAATAAAGCTAATAAGCACAATTTAACATAAAGAAAACTAAATCCAATACAGGACAATTAGTTTTATATTTTTTTAATAAAATTTGATTAATTAGCATAACAAGTATAAATGTGTTTTTATTTATTTTTTTTTTATTTAATGTTGTATAATGTTTGATTTATTCTGTTACTCCAAGTTTTATTTATTTTATTTTGTTATAATCTTGTTTTTCTTTTATTGTATATATGGTATGTTTGTGTTTCATTCATCCTAAATACCCAATGCCCTTAATTGAGGCAAAATGTATGTTTTTTCTCAATAAAATATTATTTATTAAAAATTAGCATAACATACTAATATTTGAATATTAGTATAGAAGGGCTCAGAACTTAAAAAAGACACGATAACAACGTTATTGTAATATAAACGATTGAGAAATCATATAACAAACGAATAAAAACATAAAATGGAATGAAAAATAGTATGTTTCGACCGATAAATAAATTAGAAGTGGGAAAACATTACGTGAACTATATGTTAGCATGAAGATAAAAGGTAAATCTATAAAATGAATGAATAATATATAATATAAAATATACAGAATATTTTTTGTCAGAGCCTATTTATATACAGAATGTCCTGTAAGTAGAGAGAAGTATTTAAAGGGGCAAACATCCAGAACAACAAAAAAGGCTATATAAAAGTTGGTCCAATTTTCGGCATAAAAGTAGACAATTTAAATATTATGTTTTTGAAGTAAGGCATAAGGTGTTTTATATTGAATAGGTAGTGACAACTTAGAAATATTTAGTTTAAGTAATTACCAATTGCTCCACTGCAAGCTAGACAAAATTTATACAAAATGAAAACAGAGTTTGTCATTTCAATCTATTTTATCGTATTATAGGACGGCTAAACTAAGCTACGTTTTGTTTTTTAAAATAAATTGTAAATTATTCGAGATTTTTTTTTTATCATCCTCCAACTAAACTTCATTTACCCTATTATTATAAAAACTCCCTCGTTTAATAAGCATTGATTCCGTATTAATTATGTTTAGGTTTATTTGAGAGTTGTTTATTAGGAAGAAGTTGTGTTGTGTAAAAAAAGATGGACCTATGTTAATATTAACTTTTTTGTTGTTCGAGGTCTGCTATCACTCATTTAATTATTAGTCTCTACTTAAGAGACTTCATATATCTTTATAAATATAAATATAAATATAGCATTAGTTTTTATTACATAAATTTTGAAAATTTCACCCAATACAAGAAATAATTTTTTCAGTTAATAAATAATGTTTATTTTAAAAAAAATGCAGAATTAAAAAAAAATATACATCTATATAAATTTTTATTGTATCATTCTTTGAAGTTAAAGGCTGGGTATTCGTTCTAAATCATTATT